GTTTCATGTATAAATTTTATTAATTTTACAAATAAAAACTGAAATAAAATACGAAAGAAATGTTAAATACTTATAGTATAAAGAAATTGTTTTTGTTTTTAAAATATTAATTAATCAAATTTTGAAATATAATAATGATATAAAAGTTTTCAGTCAATTTGAAGCAATAGGAAGTTATCAAAAGTTATTTAAAATAGCTGAAGTAGCTATTTAAAAAATACATAATACTTATATAAATACAGTTTTGTGTTTAAACAGATTGGACAAAAATGTACTTTGACACGGATCTACATCCCTGAATGTTTTGCGCAGCGTATGTGCGTACTACATGCACACATGCGTATGTGTCATCATCCATGACGTGGAGGTCACGTCGTCTTTTAATACAGCAAAGTCATAATAATAGTTGATTCCTACGGTTCTTGTAGTAATTCCCCTCATCTTATAGAAATTTATACAACGCAAATGTTTTGTTTATTACCATTAACTTGGAGATCTAGATTACTGATGAGCCTGAATAGTATAGTAACCTATTGTTAACTTTTAGTATGGAAGGTATATGTATATGTACATACGTATACAGTGACTCTCACTAATATTCGGACATTAGACAATTTTAACTTTTTTAAAATTGACCAAATGATTTGAGTTTTTAGAGAAGTTAGAAAGATTAGTATACTAGATGACGTGTACCAAAAATTTTGACCAAAATTACAATTTGTAGGAATCACGAAGAAAATTGTAAAGGTCACTGTTTACAACTTTTTTATCTGAGCTTGTAATGAAAATTTAAGACAATCTACCTCCACAAATAATAATATTATATAAAGGACTATGTAATAGTGTAGAAATGTGTGGTCGCTAATGGCAAATAAGCTGATGCGACATTAAATAAATAAATTAAAAAAAAATTGTAAATAATAACCTTTACAATTTTTTTGGCGATTTCCAGAAATTGCAATTTTTTCAAAATTGTTTGTACACGTCATCTAGTATACTAATTTTTCTAACTTCTCAAAAAAACACAAGTCGTTAAGTCCAATTTAAAAAAAGTTACACTGTTCTAAAGAGTGTCCGAATATAGTGAGAGTCACTGTACATATAAAAAAGACATTAATACCTTAATTAAAATAAGAACACATTAAAATCTATTATAAAAAAATAATACCTACTCTCTGTTAATAATTCCTTAAATTCAATACGCAAATATGTTGTAGCTATGACTAGATATAATAATTATATATTATGTGATTATTTAGATACAATAACAGAATTTGCTTTCTTATGGATTTTTTCAGGAATTCGTGAATTACTGATACTTCAACTAATATCCTTTGCAGTAAATAAATATATATGAAAATATCGTGATGTTAACATATGCATTATATTTTCAGGTATCTTCATTCATGGAAATTATAATTTTAATTACGAACCATTGTTTATTGATTGTAGTTTAACACTTTTCGACGCACAAATTACTAATAAAAAATAATAAAAGTATACTTCATTTCGTAACATTGTAATAATTTTACTTTAAATCTAATTTCAAAAACACAAAACTAAAGATCTACTTACATACGTATATAATTAATCCTATATTTTTTATTCTTTTAACACATAATGTAGAACTATAGATTAAGTTCTACATTATTAATTCCTTTTTTATATCTCTTTCTAGCATTGTCACTTATTTCAATGTTTCTAATTTTAATATATTATACTATTCTTTGAATAAATGAGAATCATATCTTTAAGGAACAGAAGTGTAAATATCTTGGTTTGCAAGTGATATTTTGTTCTAAGTATGATTGATCGATATTAATAATTATTTATCAATTTTTGAAAAATAAAAGTTTTGTATATTTCGGTAGTAATTTATTTACTGTCATTGTCAGGACAATATAATTAGTTTAAGGGTAATTATTTTAAAAACTTTACTGCTCTCGTTATACATTAAGGAAACACACATTTTATCGAAATTATAATTGTTCATAATATTTTTAATACAAAATATTATTATAACAACGGTTTAATACATATAATAATTTAATCGTACAACTTTATATTTGTAACAGCTCTAAAACTGAAGCTTACAATTGGTATTAAAAGGCTAGAGTGGCCTCTAGTATAACTTTCACCACTATGATAAATACAAGTAGATATTGATTCTTTAAATGTAATGTGCAACGTATACAAAAAATGAATTAAAAAAATGAATTAAAAAGTAACAAAATGCACGTAGAAAATAAATAAGTAATTAATGGAATTGAAGAAAATCCTGTTTTATCATTTATCGATAATGAAATGTCAGTTTACTTTTTTTGTCACCGCATTCGATGTATCATTCGAGTGACTTGCATGAGCTTGTACTTCATCGTTTGTAGCATGACGATTCGTTAATTGTAGAAATTGTACTACAGATTTAATGTAAGATTTTAAATTATTCGCATTAATAGTTCCCAGGTGAAGTATTATATTCGAATATACACGGCGAGCGGCTTTATTGGATAAACGTCCAACGGTTTGTAGGGTGTGGAGCAATTTATCTTCTTCGTTTGTATTTATTACTAAAATAAAAACAAAATTATTTTCATATTATTACTACATGTTTCTGATTGAATATCACTCTTGAAATTACTTAAATCTAATCAGTTACTTTAGCAATACTTCATATTAAATAATTAATTGTTATGATGATTCATATGAAATGAAAATAAACGATTAACCAGTGTTTCTTACGTTTCCTTTCCTCTACTTATTTCTAATAACTTATATTCTATACTACTGCAATCAGACGGAATTATATTAAGTAGTTCAATAAGTTCATACCACGATGCGTTTATACTCTTCACGATGTATTTTGTATTTCGAGAAATGAAACCATTAATTCAGACGTGTACACTGTGCTTATAGAAAATTCATAGAAGCAATAGCAGTGAAACGACCAGAACTCTTAAATTGGAACAAAATAATTTTTCACCACCATAATGCCAGATTACATGTAGCAAAAAACGTGCAAAAAAGATTACGTTGAGAAATTTTATCATACCCACGATATCCTCCGGACATTGCTCCATCAGATTACCATCTATTTCGTACATTACAATATTTTTTTGTGGGCAAACGATTTAGCAATATCAAGCCCATAAGAAATAACATTGTAAAATATTTTAATGAAAAACCGAAGGAACTTTATAGTGACAGCATAATGGTTGTGCCAAAAAGGTGGGGAGAAATTGTAGAACGAGAAGGTGAATACATTCTTTAATAGCATTTAAAGGTATGTTTGAAATATTGATCTATTAAATGGCACATCGATAAACAGCACGAACTTATTGGACGATTTAACCCTCCGTAGACAAACTGAGGAGTCCAAGTCTATTTTTTTTTACTGTTTCAAGCTTTCAAAAAATCTGAAAAAATTCTGTAGTACTTATCAAAGTCTCTACTACATTATACAATTGTTCGTTAAGTCAAATGTTTCAAATATTTTTCAATAAAAATAAAAATTCGTTTCGAAGAATTACGGTAGTGAAATTTCACTTGGGTCGTCCAAGACCCAGATTCCCTACGGAGGGTTAATATTACCATCCTGGTTATTATCGTTAATATTAATGTCACGCCTGCTGCTGTTGTGAATAAAAAATTGATGAGATGAAGTAGAAAAGTTGCAAATTTTACTGATTAAAAGTAGAGTACTTTAGCTTACGGATTGTTTCTTCATCTGTTGTCGCAGGAAAATATTTATCTATCAACTTATCAACGACGTCGACTGTACTGTCAAAACCCCTAACAGCTGCGCTACCATAATAGGTTTCGAGAACCTGATTCATTTTATTCCAACTTATATCCCTCAAGGTTACAGCTTGCGTGATTATTAAATCGTTAACAACTGAAATACTCGAAACGGCTGGTTGAACAGTTCGCAGTGCTAACGTATATGCATTTTCTAAAATCTAACAAAAGGAATATATATGTATACTTTTATTCGATTAATTACATGAAATTATTAAAATTTTATTTATTCAAAATTTGTATGAATGTAATTGCCCATATCGAATGTGTAATACCTTTTCATTTTTGATTTCTTTAACTTGTTCAAGTAATCACGCGTAAAAATGCAAGAACTATAAAAATTAATTATACAGGACGAGGCACTAACTATTGCCACCTAGAATAACTCCGAAATTATGATAGAAGTAGAAAAATTTTCGAAACAAAAGTTGCATGGGACAACAGGTGCCGTAGTATGGCGTTAATCTTTTGTTGCTAGGTGGAGTCGTTTCAGAGATATGAAGGTCACCTTTGTTTTTTTAAATGGAATGCCCTACTTTTTTAACGGTAGTTGGAAAGCTCATTAATTTCCAAGTGGAAAGGTATTAAACATTGCTTGTCCTAAAGCTATTAATTAACGAGATATTAACGACAGTTTGATCCATATGATTCGCATATAGTCGCGAATTGTCCCCGAAGCAAGCGTGGCACGAGCTTCACGAATTCGTTCTTACATATCATCTACCGTTGTTGATGATTCACGATACACTTTACTTTTTAATGTACCCCAGAGAAAATAATCTAATGGTGACAGGTCTGGTGAATGAGGCGGCTATGATTTTTCAACGCGACCTTCTGTGGATCAAACTTTCGTTAATAGCTCGTTAATTATTAGCTCTAGGACAAACAATGTCTAATACTTTTCCACTTGGAAATTAACGAGCTTCCCAATTACCGTAAAAAAAATAGGGCATTCCGTTTAAAAAAACAAAGGTGACCTTCATATCTCTGAAACGATTCCACCTAGCAACAACAGATTAACGCCATACTACGGCCCCTGTTGTCCCATGCAACTTTTGTTTCGAAAATTTTTCTACTACTATCATACTTTCGGAGTTATTCTAGGTGGCAATAGTTAGTCCCTCACCCTGTATACAAAATATTTGAACATTTTTGGTACCAATGTCACATACATATATTCATCATACGAATTCTTATGAGAAATCGATAGTACATACATATGTGTATGTCACGCGGTACTTAATAGATATAAATTATGTTCTTAAGTACAAGCATGAGTGAAACTAAAAAAAGGTATAAATTTTAAGTATACAAGTAAACGTAACATGAGCTACAGCGAGCGATTTTTTTTTACCGAAAGTGTTAGATTAAAAAGTATTCACTAAGTTAGGTAAAAAATCCTTAATGATTATCGGTTGAAGAATCAACGTTCACACAATTAGAAACAATTTTCGATGTTAATAAGTTTTCCATTTCTATTTATCATATACCCAGTGCAAAGAAAACTATTTGAAAGTCATCTAATTCCAAAATATTCTACGCACCCTCTAAGAATACCCACTTTGTATGTGATAAATAGAGGGAGACAAATCACTCTCAATATTAATACGAAGAATTGCTTTTAACTTTGTTAAATTACAATTAAATTTTTCTTTGGAATCTTGTTCCTTAGGTATTTTTTACATTAGTTTAGTGAATACTGCTTTGAGATATACGTCCTGAACCCCTTTTCAAAAACACCTAGTTTGTATTATATACAATGGTTTTTTCTTATTCATTAATACTTAGAATTACGAACATACTTGAAGTAATACATTTTTTTGGAGTTATGTTAAATTTTTATTTCGTTTACTAGAAAAGGGATTGATTTCTAACCTGCTCAGGTTTCTCCTTAACCAGTGGAACTTTTTCTTCGATTTTGTCGAGACCAAGGCACAACGTGTGGTCAACAAAGTGTATAGGGTTCTCGAGTTTCCTGGCAATGGGTACAGCAATGGGTACTGCCTGCTTCGTCGCATTGCTTAAAGAAATTTCCGCAGTGGTCAGTGCCCAGTGGACAAGTTGGTGACAGTCTTTTACACGAGAGTATGTCGCTGCAGATTTAGATATCGCACTTTCTATCACCGGAAGTTCCAACACGCGGTGAAAGACTTCTATTTGAGGTAATTGCGCAACTTCGGTTGCCATTCTCTGACGATTTTACACAGCTAAAAGTAATGGTAAACTCTGCAACAATGTATTACATTTTTATACAAAATGTTTTATATTCTGTTTTTACTGTTCTATTCATTCCTAAATCCTATCTCAGGGAAGGCAATTTGTGAAGTAATAAATAGACATATTTTGTCTTATTTAGTTAATTAATTGAACTGGTTAGGTAATTCGACAGAATATGTCACGTCAGATTTTAATAAACAAGTAAAATACACCTGATTTATGTTGAGGTTAAATATATTTCCCTTTTTTAAGTTAAGGAACTTTTGATAATGTTTAAATCGTTTATTAAAATTTTTTCGTCCAATTTTAGAGAATTAATAGAGAATAATATTATATTACTTGTAAGATATTTCTCTGGATATCGAAATTCTTTTATTTAGAACTCTCTTTTAAGATACCTACAATTTTATTTTCAAAATTGTATACTATTACATTAGATTTATGCATAGAAATGTAATTCTATTTTTAGAAAAATGTTAACTAATTGTAATAATGTAAATTAATTAATTTAGAGCTACAAGGGACATCACCCAACTGATACGCGATAATTTTTATAAAGTTTTGCGCAAAATATTAGACACGTGTTTTTTAGTACAGCGTTCAGTGGTATAGTATTCATGTTTAGGGAGTGAAATCGCCCTTAAAATTTGGGGGCTAGAAAACTATTAATTAGAATATCTCGAGAATTAGGAAAAAAGGGAATTTGTGAGATCCATTTTGTAGTCTGTATCGACAAATTTTTGTCAAAAAATATTTACAGAAATATGATATTCTTAACTACGGTAGCGCCATCTACGATCTTGGCCAAATTTCGTTTGCATCATGTTATTCCTCGTGAAGATATAGACAGAATTCATATTTAACATTTTTCTCTATTTCAATCCGTTTTCGAGATGTTCCAATTGATAGTTTTCCAGCCCCAAAGTGTGAAGCGCTAAACATGAATATTAGCAGTTTAAAAAAAGTACCTATCCGATATATTCGGATTCTCTAGCTGTCTGCAAAATTTTACCAAATTCGGCGTGTATCGGTTGTGTGATGTCTCTCGTTAATATAACGTTAAATCTCACATTAAAACTGAGATAAATGTTGAAGTGGAAATGGTGCATCATGATAACACAAGGTTCATTGGACATACGCATATAGTATCTACAATGCGGCATATGTACGTAAGTTACGTATAACGCTTTCTTAGCTTTCGCTAGAACTCATACTTCCTAATGGTCGAAACAGAAAGTCATTATATGATAGCGTATACTACAGCAATAGATACGTATTTTGAAATAGTGAACTATGTTATTTAAATAAATGATGTATTACGTGCTACATTAAACAAATTTTACTCCTTATAATCTTCTAAAAGGTAGTTGTAAGTAAGAGAAACACAACATGAAAACATGCTCACAAAATCAAGTAAATAAACAAATATAGGAATATCATTAAAATATTTCATCGACTCGTATTATATTTATGAAAAAATGCACTAGATTTGAAAACCTCCTATAGTAGATATCGAACAAGCCTTCCGATACTACAATACTGATAAGATCCACTTACAGTTTAGCAGTTACTTCCTTGTCGTTCCGGTGGACGTAGAGGCTCAGACGCGTGCGGTGCGTAAATAGAAATGTGATGTTCTGAACGTAGTTTCAACTCTTATAACTGGCTTACCGCCTGCGCGCTAAGATTCATTCGAATGAGCCAATGAAAGCCAACCAGTGACATATACGCAAGACGTGATCAAACGCATGCCACGAGGTTTCAAAGTTCGCTAAAACGATGGTATTTTTGTGTTATCAGCGCTGCTGAAACCGTCGAGTCGTATAAAAGTGAATGAAAATTCGTAATCAGTCGTAAGTATTGCAGTACCATGGGAACTTTGCATCGAATATTTTTTTATGGCTTTGCACGATATTGTTTCAAATTAAAAAATTGATTTCAATAATGGTTTGATAAATGCCATTCATACAATAACGACATAATGTGAATAAAAATTTATCTATATTTGCGTGAAACAAATTTCTTATCTGTAAAGCACAAAATACCATACCTCTTCTTAAGTTGTCGTGCTTTATTAGAAAAACATTACAATTGTCTCTTTTGTTACATTGTTAAACATCAAAAATTATGGGTATCGATTTAATTGTGCTCCTCGACATTTTGAAAATGCGTGAAAAATGGTAGCAACAAAAACGATATTTTCTTTACTCTTTAGTTCTGCTACTGATTTATTTGTTATTACACAAATGTTATTCTTAAAATACCTACAACCGAAACGTCTTGAAATACCGTATTTTATCTTTCGTAATATTTCATATGAAGTATGTAGCTGTATTCGTTTATTAGAAATACAAATTTTTTTTCATATGAATGTAAAATAAAAATAATAATGGATGCAGTCTATTTTAGGATGTGAAAGCGGAATATAAACTTTACAACACGTAATCCCTGTCTTTCTTTTCTACCAGATAATTGCGTTTAAACTGCACTGCAATATTTATAAGATATAATGGTACCAAGCCAATATGTTATTAAATATAAATACAGAAACGCACTCTCTCCCATTCACCCATGGAGCACGAGCGCGGCCACACACACGTGCGTATTTGTTAAATTCTGTCTAAAATATCAGTTTCACTGCTACAATAGAAAATTGCAATTGGCGACTACTTAGAACTATCAAAAAACCAATGGATTTCATTTTTAAAAATAGACACAGATTTCCTGTTTACACAGATGTAATGCACGCAGCATGTATCAAGTCCATTTTTGGGGACAATGAAAGACAGAAAAAGTCCTAAAAGTTTGTAGGATCGTTTACAGTCGAAATTCGTCTATCCTTTCTCTTCATAAAAGAATGTATAAGACAAGTTACTGTCATCAGCTTTCTGTAATATATTCACAATTACTGTTATCAATCTTGAGAAAATTGGATTTAATTAAAAACGATACCTTATGATTTGCACATGTTTCAGTATTTTAGCGAAAGGAAGTATTTCAAATGTTAGAAATTAAGTAAGATTTCACCACATTCACTTTCATTTTCTTGTTTGGGAAAAAAGTGCTTGAAACTGTTGGGAAATGAGTATTAATTACATTAGCATAGTTATTAATCGAAGAAATGTTTAAATCCTAATTAAAAAATTCTTAGCAGGTAATTGTATGAGTTGTTTTATTATAGAAATTCGGTTATTGTTTTTACAAAGAATAGTGATAAAGAAAATATGATATGATGCTGCGAAATGGTTTTTTTGGAATTCGAGTAAAAATATAATCAGTTCGATTTTTATCTTATTTCTAAAATTAGAATTGTATATAAGAAAGAAAGAAGAAAATAATTAGTTTGTTAAATGAAAATTATAAAAATGTCGACATATACTAATCAAGACTACTTACAATTAGTTAGTTGTAACACAGTCCTTTTCTTATACATACTTTTTAATACATAAATATGAAAAGTAGTACACTATGTTCAATCTATTTATTTCTATATTTATAGTTGAAAAATATAGTAATACTGTTTTAAAATTAACGTTTTAGAGATATAGAGAGTTATTTATATTTAATCGAAGTATTGTTGAATTATACTAACTTACTAATTAATCTTGATATGTCAAAAAAATTAAACATGTTTCAGAAATGAACAATTATGTTATGAAAACAGATTTGCATATGTAAGAAGAAAACAATTAAACAAATATAAATTATTTTGTATTTTGAATTTAACGAAATAAAATAGGATTTTGCTATTTTAAAAGTTGAAGTGTAACAAGTGTAACTACTTGTTAAAGACAGTAGAATCTGGTTTATCAGAACACCGATCAGCGGAACGATCGATTATCGCAACATCGATTAACAGTTGGCAGCTAAGAAAATTGGGAAATAAGAATAGAGATGAAGAAAATTGCTAAATTTTTATTCAAAAGTTTTTCGTTTTGCTTAATATTAACGTTTATGAAATATTTCAAAATAGACGATCTTCTTTTATGTGAAAACATAGTTATTTGATTTTCCGAATAGCGTGTGTTATGATTAGTTCGGATAGTCAAAAAGTCGATAGTCAAAGTTCTACTGTAGCTCTATATGCAATTCTAAATATACATATATTTGATAATAGATGTGATAATTAGATTTAAAACAAGATTAATGTTCCAAAGGTTTATTTACATTTTTCACCATAAATTATATAACAGTTCTTTCAATATCTTTTTAATACATTCATAACCGTAGTAATGTTTCTTGTAGTTTTAAAATTAAAATGTATTATAATATTTTACACGTTTTTTTCAGAAGAAACACTTTGAGAGGTCGAAAATATTAATTTTTTTTGATAATTTGAAAGTATAACCTTTTCAGAATATGCTCCTAAAATATTAAGCCGAAATGCATGTATGTAAATAACGTTAAGTTACAGTGCTTTTCGCTGGAAGTCGATGCAATCCGCAAGATGTTCGTTAGATTGTAAAAACTTCATAAGGTAAGTACTTACATTAATAATAGATCCAAAACTGTGTGGCGATAAAGCTGTTGTTAAAGAAAAGTACGTAAACCACACTAAAAAACGTATGGGTATGAGATTACGTTATCTGAAAAATAAGTACAAAAGGATCGGTGGTAGAGGAAAATTAACCTATAAAGTAATCGATGAATTTTGTAATTACTATCGAAAGGCAATTCGTGAAAATGCAGACTCTGTAGAAAAAATGCATAACGCTATTTGGGTTACGTTACACCACAAAAGGTCCTAATAAAAATCCTAAACATCATCTATCCCTGGAGGATGAGAACTCATGGTGTTCTTGGCAGCGCACTAAATATAGTGGAAAGTTACAGGAATATAGACATAAGAATCCATTACCGCAAGGCATAATCGATGCATTAACGCTAATTTAAACTGATTTAAGCAAATCAGAATTATTAGAACACTGTTTGGGTGGTTACATACTGGAGAAAGTTGTATGGTGTATCGATACCTCTAATTCGCGCACGTCTCTCAATTCTAATGTCGATGTGCTGGATTGAGAAATAATCAATCGGCCTTCAACAAACAAAGATGACAAGTACTATGGAACTGGAATTGACAAGATATGGTAAGTCTTTAAATATATTTATTTTTAAACAAAATAAATGAACTTAAAACTTGCATTAAATTTGCGTTAAACACGTTTTTCTCAAAACGACGTTTTCTAAACGGGTTGAATGATGTATGTATTCTACATAAAAATGTTTTCAATTAAGCATACGGAAACTTTTAAAAAGTAATGTTTACTATTTTTTTCACCTCAAAATGTACTCATTTTTTATCGAAATTTTAAAACTCTGTTTCAAGGTCTGCCATTTTT